AAACCCGAAATACCCAAACCCAAACTTGAAAAATTTCAGGTCGAACGGGTTCGGTTTTTCGGGTCGGGTTTACTTTTGACACCCCTAAAGAATACTATAATCAGGGGCGGCTTATAGCAGGAGCAAGGTGAGCAACTGCTCAGGGCGGGCCTATATTTTAAATATTATCTATTATTATTATTATTATTAAATTTTAAATTTTAATTTATATTTTTTTTTTCCTTTTTCATAATTATCCTATTTAATTTTAAAATTAAATTTATATTTCTAATCATATATAAAAAAAATATTTATTTCTAATGGTCTACACTTCTTTGCCTTACACTTTTCTGTCATATCTTTCACCCTCCTTCGGTCATTCTTGCTTTTCGAATTTTTAGACAGACCGTCTTTCATCTTCTTTTCTCAAATTGACATTGTTCAGACGGTCCTTCAACCTCTTGTTCAATCAACGTCAATCAGTAATATTATTAAGAATACATTTTAATTATTTATTTGTAGGGCCTATAATTTATTTTCTCTCAGTGCCTAAAAAAAGTCCGAGACGGCCCTGAATATAATAATTAATATTTAAATATCAATACACAAAAAGTAAATGAAACCTTAGAGCTGATCGATGTTTCTGAAAATACTATATATATATATTTTTTATTTATTCATATATTAATTTATATTCTTCTTTTTTATATCACATATTGTCTTCTAATCTTTTGATTAATCTTTTACCATTTAATATTTATTGATTAATCTTTTACCATTTTATATTTATTGATATATTTTAAAATCGATGTTATTTTAATTTTTTTATAATTAGTAGATATGATCTATCATTAACATATTAGTACACTGCTAGAAAAATCTGATTGTGTACAGAAAAATTATTTTGAAAACTAAATAGACAAAAATAATATAGGTTTGGAATACCCTACATAATTTAAAAATATATATTATGTTGTCCGAATGACGTGATGGTGTGGGAAGTAAACTTGTGACTATGAGATCATGGGTTCAAACTCTGAGTGTGACTTGCCTTGTTGGGCTAGTCGGTGCAAAAATCTGCGTTCAAAAGAAGATATAATAAATAAGTATCAAGTGGTGTTACCTCTCAAAATGGTATATCACATACTTTGTCTAGTACATTACATAGTTATGTTTGAGTGTGTGATTTTATCGGTCCATAATAATTTTCGCATGATTTTGTGTACTTTTTTTTAATTTGTATTTTGATTTAAATAATAATTCATCTGATATTTTGTGAGAGTAAATAATATATTTTTTTATTGCAAAGTGGGGATTGAATCATTTTTTTTTATTTGAAATAAAAAAACACTAATAAAATATATTAATTATAAAAAATTAAAGTAATATATATCAAATGAATATAAAAATATATAAAACATACTAATAAAGTAATTAAATAATGTATAAAGAAATGTATTTATAAATATATAAGAAATAAATATATTAAATTATAAGAGATTGACTATTTAGATAATATAACAAAATAAAGAAGAATTTAAAATAAATTTAAAATATAAATAACTAAAAAATATATATATCCAATATTCTAGAACCATCCGTCTAATATTATAAAAAAAATTGAACCGAAAAGACTAAAAACCTAGTAGAGTAGGTGTAAGCATTTCTGATTTTTTATTTTTATTTTTAAATTTGCTTTGTTTTAAAGAAACACCAAAAAACTCAATATTCTGATTAGAGTTCTTGTATTCTCTCGTGCGGGCTATTGTTCTTATTCAGCTATTAGAGATTATTCCGTGATTAGGGCTTTATGAGGTTCAGATCGAATTCGGGTGCAGTTAATTACTGTGTTGATTATTTAAGCTCCAAAAGTATCCATTTTTTTTTTTCTATTATTGCAATTTATATTTGCGTCAAATATAGAAAAGGAAGTATATATATTTTAATATATTAATTATTAATTTATTTATTATTATACTTTCCAATAAATTTATTCTATTTGATTTATTTTTAATACAATTTCTATAATAAAAAACTACATAGAAAAATTAATAATATTTATATTATTACTTAATTTAATAAATTAATATATTTTTACAAAAAATAAAAATATATAGAATAATTAATAATTTCAATTAGTTGAAATTTTTAAAAATAAAATTATAATTTACCAAAAATACAAGATAATAAATAAAACTATATTGATATTTTTGTAAGGAAAATAATTAAATTCTAAAGGCAAATATAAAAAAATTAAATAAAAGTAGAGTGAAAACGCTAGCAAGATAACTTTTATAATTAGCTTTTAGGTCATTAGAATATTTCATAAAACTAATTTAACAAATAATTAAATTATTTTTTTTACTTGTTAAACAAATAAAAGTTCTTCAAATTGCTAAAAGCTCTTCAAAAGTCTATTTTGCAAACACCCTCAATCTATATAAAAATAAAATAGGCATCTAGAATAAACATATTTTACCAAAATTCTTTTTTACTCATAATTTGGCGGATATATTAACTAAGGCGTTACCGACTGCAACATTTGAAAAATTGGTAAAGAAAATTCGGATGCGTCGGTTAAGGGATCTCAAATGATACTCAGATCAGGGGGGAGCGAATTGATACAAGAATGTTGTTGTCCACGGGGTTTTTTCCTAGGAAGGTTTTAACGAGGTACATTCTTTGTATAAAAGCATCCAAGGGGAAAAAAACAAAAAAAAAAAAAACATCCAAGGGGTAGTATTGTACACGTAGCACACAGGAAGGTTCTACGTAGTGAATATGCTTTTCATTCCTTCGCATGAAGGTTTTTGCATGTATAAATATAGGCTGAGTGAAATGAAATTCACACCCCTCATTCTCTCCATTTCTCTCTCGTCAACAATATCATACATACATAAAATTTATATATACATACATACATACATACATACATTAACTAATATATTATACTTACATACTACATACACACAACACATATATATTAATTACTACTCCCGCATATTATATATCATATGTTATAATATTATATATAGTATATTATACAATATATAAAATAGTGGTTAGCGGTAGAAGTAATTAATATTTCTATTGGCTAATCCTATAATAATATTACCAAAAAAACAAACTTAATATATTAGTTAATAAAATACATAAAGAAATTGTTTATAAATATATAGTAAATATATTAAATTGTAAAATATTAACTACTTCAAATCATATAAAAAAAATTATAGAAAAGTTTAAAATAAATTTAAAATATAAATAATATATAGATATATATACAACACTTCTAGAACCATCCACTACTGAAAAAATTTGTGAGCACAAAGAAAAAAAAAATGAGTGCGTCCATAGAAAAACTCTATTTAAAAAATTATAGAAAAATCTTACAATAAATTAAAAAGATAATTAAGTAAATAAAAATATATGGAGCCCTTTTTGAACCATCCACATAATACTATTAAAATCTTTAGGGTTATTGTACATAAGGGCTTTTTCGGAGGTTCAGAGGGTGATTGCGTGTTTTTCCATTTCCAATTGATCTCATTTTTGTTTATTTGTTTTGGTTGCTTTAGTTGTAGGTATGAGAAAGGAAAATGAGATCTTGGCAACACAATCAGGAACAAAAGGATAGTGAGCAGATCTGGCTGAGGATTGGGAATTGATTGCTGGTCGATGGATGCAACGGTGGCGAGATAGGTGTTGGATTTGCGGATGATGAATCAATGACTACTCTGAGGTACATTTTGTAAAAGTGATTAAGTATTTAAAGAAAATACATTTACTATGACAAAAAACTATGATACATCTATCAATCATATTGTACTCATTGGATCTTGTGCTTATCAAACTCCACCATCAGAAAGGAAACCTATCCGGACTATAGGGATTCTGCAGAAAGGCCTGAAGTAGGAGCAATTGTGGATGCGTGGTGGTGGGAAGGCATGGTAATTTGATGATAGTTGGATCTAAAGTGAAATTTTCCAATGCTACCATGTTCCGTGCTGTCCAAATATAATAAAGAGTCGCGGAAAGGATGATCCGTAGCATGATTTTCGAACCGGTTGTTTTTATCCAGTCTTCTGTTTCCTCAATCGAGTCCAGCTCCCTTGGTGCCTAAAGTCATTTGCATATTTCTGTCCAAACTTTTCTCAAGAAAGAGCAATGGATGAACATATGGTGGGCCGTTTCCAGGTCTTCCTTGCAGAGCAGAGCACACAAAGAGGATAGAGCCATGGATTAAATCCCCCTTCCCTCTTTTCAAATACTTTGTCTTGTTTTGTGATTAGGATTTTTCTGTTTCATATTTTGGGTGTGATGTTTTATATGAAAATTGTTGATATTTTTGGCCCAACCTAATCCGTGACCCATTGCCCCACATGCAAGCGAAACCACTGTAACTTGGATCATATTCTATTACCCCTGACCTGCATCAATATATAATTCCTCCCTCTTCCATTTTTTGTGTACGTAAAATTCGATTCTATTTTGAGTGTTCATCATCTTCATGCATTCTTTCTTTCATTGGTTTTTAGGTGGTTTTCTATTTTATTGTTATTTACTATCACTACAAAAAAAATTACTAATTAGCGAATGATTTTTGCAAGGGATTTTATTTCCCTTGAAAATAATTTAAAAATTTCTTGTTATTAACAAATGAGTTTGCAAAGGATTTATATTCCTCACAAAATTAAAAATTATTTTTTATTTTTATTAAATAATTTATTTATTAAAACAAACATATAAAATTATTTTTATTTTAAACAAAAAGCTAAATTTCATAATCCTAGATACCTAATAGCATCCCGAACCAAACCGTCGAATCTTTAAACCAAACTTAACCAAATCGAATTTAATTAACCGAACCAAATATATTTTTATATATTTTTAATTTATATTACTAGTTATATATATTATAATTATTTATACCTGAGCTTTTGGACTGAATTGTTCAATATAAATACAAAATGGCCCACTATCCAATACCCATTAATTTATTACCTAATTTTAAAATTCAACTCAAACCCTTAACCTATAGACACCCACACGGCCACACCACACGCAGTCACTGGCAAACACATCTACTGTTTCGGCGTCGATAATATTCACTTCCCGCTGGCCGCCGCACGCACACACAAAGACACCAACGCCGACGATGCAACCATGGGGTTAACTTCTAATCAATGGTTCTCTGCACGCTGGGTCATAAGGTTTTTAATTTGACGGATTGAATTCATAATTTTGTTTGATAAGTTGGATGATATATATGATTTTATTTTATTTATTTATTTTTTGTGTGTATGATCTTTGTGCGATTGTTAGATTGTTAGTGAAATTTGGTTATTTTGTGGAGCAGTGCTCTTTGGAAGTTGTCGTGTCATTTGGTTTATGATTAGAATACTAATTATGGACAAATTTTAATGTTATGTATTCATTAATGTCAAGAAGAATTGAAATGATAGTATGATACCATCGAGATTTCTTCCTCTCTTCTTTGGACTGACAAAATATTAAATAGAGACTGCAGAATGTCACACCTACAACATATGGACTTTTAGACAATTAAGGCAAAACTTGCTGAAGCTTTTGTGTGAGCGTGTATCAAATTGTGCGCTCAATGATACTTTTCCGAAATAACATGAACTTTGACTGTGTTTGTGTTGTTGAACCAATTCTAGCTCGAATGACTCTGTATTTTTGTGTGTGTGTGTGTGCCCGTGTGAATTTGTAATTGAGTTGATCTTGTTGGAGTGACTGGATGTATATTGATAGAGAAAGTAAAGAGTGTGTCCAATTAGGCCAAATATTACTTAAGTTATTGAGTTTTTGTGTCGTTTAATTTTTATTAGTAATGTGATGCCGGGTAGAGTTACACTAAATCTACATCTAAAGTTACACTAATGACTGGATGTGTATACTGAAGCTTTATTCTTTCTACGGAGGTTTGAATCTGCCTAGGTTATACAACCATTTGCTCCCCCTGCAAGATGGACTTTTAAGATTGTTTGACAACTTCAGAAATAAAATCCAAATATTTGCTTTTGCCTATATTATTGAATGAGCTTTTTCATATTTTCTTATTTCAATTACAGGAAGACCTTTTGGAGCTACAGGATGAGGAGCTGGCTTCCACCATGAGAGAACAAATAAAGCGAGCATTGTAATTTTGGGAAAGAAATTGGGTATTTTGTTGCTTTTGCACCCTGTTTCCTTTAAGTTATTATTATTAGCCACCTCTACCTAATTTTTAGTGGTATGTTTATCTAGCATTCTGTTGTACCCCTTAAAATAAAATGCCTCGCTCAGGAACCGGAGAGATTTATGTAGGCGTTGAGTATGGCACAATCTCGATGTATCAGCAAGCAAATAAGAATTGGCGCCCTAATTCAGGATACAAATATGTTAGTTCCTTATACTGGTCAGTACGTCCTGATATATATATATATGTATGTATTTCACACCGATCAATACTCCCTCCGTCGCCTTACAATGTGCTCATTTTTCATTTGGGATTTTCATAAAAAAAATATTCTTGTTTCTCTTTTTAATAAAAAAATATATTACTTTTTGTATTTTCTTGCTATAAAAAGAAAAAAGTAACAAAAAGTACACACCTCATATTGAAACCCATATCCGAAAGTTTGAGCACATTTTTTGGGGATGGAGGAAGTATTTGATTTTCTATTCATGTTTGGCTTGTTTAGGTGTTGTTCACCCTTGGGGTGTGTTTGGTTCAACGTTCAACAAAGGGTAGTGTATTGGTTCATATGGAATGAAGAAAAGGGGAGGGGGGGGGGGAGATACCTAGTAATTTTGCATTTGATTAGGGAATTGAGGTGAAGGAAAATAAATTATTTTCCAATTATACTACTATATTACTGGGAAAAACCATAAACAAAAAGCTACAATTTAGGTGAGTTTATTTTACTATATTGCTAGGGAGATCTTTATTGATAGTAAATGGTTGACTTTATGGTTCTGATTATGTCGCAGTGCTGGGACAATTGAGGTTATTTTGGTCAACCAATGGGAATATATGTAGTTATTTTTTATTAAAAGTTATTGTGTTATGTCTTTTTCTATAAGAGCTTTTGGCTATTTTGTTATGTTGTTGGGTTCAATATAATGATGTGTGTCAAATGACGACATGCGACTTCGAAAAAGTATACAATCTTCCTGGGACTTTTCTAGTGTTAAGCGACTCTGTATTTTAAAGCGACTCTAGTGTGAGCTCAAAGCTGGTTTCCCAAAATGTATTTTGTTATTATTATTTTTCCTTATTTTTCTTTACATGATTTAATCCGCATTGGTGTCCCCAAAATGTACTTTAGCCTCTTTTAAATAATATGATGTGGGTTGATTCTTTGGGTGCACTATTTTGGAATTTGATTATATGTTCTTTTACTATGCAACTATCATGATTCTTATCAAAAGACAATCAAACTCTAAATGAGCACACTCTATTTCTTGGTTTTATATATATATATATAAATATATGTGCACATTCTGATATGTCTTGTATAGAGTAGTGGGCATAGTAGTTTTGAAAATGAGATTCACCATCCTGCTCCGGTTCAGAAGAAAACTGACTCTATGTTGAATCTAATGTTACGAGAAGTAACTTGAGAATTAAATGTGTTGCTCGTAAAACAGACTATTTAGATGCTTTGATGGATATTGCAGAGGACATATTGCATGCAGTAAGTATTACAGATGACTCATGTTAAACATTAACTTTTGTTCTTTTTTTAAGTGGTAAGACACATTCTTACAATGCTACTTGCTGCAGGTTCTCTTTCTTAGACCTAATTGATATCTGTCAAGCAGCAGGGGTTTGCAGACAATGGAGACACAAGTTGTTTTGAAGACTTCTTATGGTTTTTAAATTTTGAGAATAAAGCGATGTTTATCAAACGATGTAAGTGTAGTTCAATTGTGATATGCTATTTGTTCAACGATTTTTTTATCCATTATATGACATTTTGATATAAATATGGATTCAAAGTTCTTTCTGCCTACATTTTAGATATGTGAAATATGATCAAGTATAATCCAACTATTATTCGGCTTAAAGCCTTTTCATTCTTACATGCATGTGTTGATTCTCTTGTCCCAGAGAGTTAAGAACTTACTTTTAACTTTGTTCTTTCATTTAGTTGAAACCATGTGTGATCGATATCCAAACACTACAAGTGTGAATGTCTATGGTGCTCCAGAATTGACCTTCTTAGAATAAAAACATTAGCCTTATTGAGGTATATACAATATGCATTTTTTTAAGATGGTTTAACTGTGGTAGTCTTATATTATATTTATGAACCTCTCATTTATCCTAGAAATCTTGAGAGTTTAACTCTGGGCAAAAGCTAGTTGCCAGAGGCATTTTTCCAAGTCTTAATTGATTGCCGTATGTTGAATAAATTAGTTACATTTCACATGATAGATTAGTTGAGCTTCACATACAGAGATGTCCGCGCTGCATATCTGTCAGGTACAAAGTTTACCATTTTTGTCGCATTTTGTCCTATTGTATTGTTTTTCAACTGCATTAATTATATTTATGGTCTTCTTCAAATATTCACACCTTGAAACTTTGTCTCTCAGACGTAGTAGCATGTCTCATGTAATACTCAATTGTCGCATTTTGCAAGAACTTGATATCACTTCCTGTCAAAAGCTTTTTGATGGTGCAATTTGTTCATTAGCAAAATCCTCCCCATGATTGGAATCCTTGGATATGTCGAATTTTTTTCAAACTGAACCTAACGGAGTAAGGAAGAAAGTGGCTCTTCATACCAAAAGATACACACTGGTGGTATGCGACTAAGATGAAAGTACACCAATTAATTATGTGAATTTTTAACATACTAATTTAGATTCAGTTCCCTTTTTCTAATATTTTTGTATTGTGTATTCTAATTAGATGAGATCCAGCTTATGAGGAAAAGGTCCTAAAGCAGCTTAATAATAGCATACAAGAGGCTTATAACAAGTGGATGAGCAATCTAAGAAATGCGCGGGATAGAACCTTGCACTTGGTTTATTTTATGTTATCGTATGATATTGGGAACAAAGTTTATTTTGTATTCTATTGTGTTAACTTTTTGGATTGTTGTTGGAATGACTATATTATTAGTTTGTTATTTTTTGGGACAAGTGTATGAATGTAAAATGAATCTATATTGTTAGTTTGAAATTGTTTGGAACAGACATTGGAATTCGAAATGAATCTATATTATTAGCTTGTGACTATTTGGGACAGGGGTAAGAATTTGAAATGAATTGGGAAATTTGTAAAATAGTTTACAATGGATTTTTTCGAATGAATGAATTTCTCGTAAAATTTGGAATCATGGAAAACAAATTTTTTGAAGGAATTTATTTCATTGCAAAAGTGAAGTTTGCGAGGGAATATATTCCCTCGAAAAAATAAAGTTATATTTGCGAAGGAATTGTTCTCTCGTCAAAATTTCCTCGGAAAAATGAAGTTATATTTGTGAAGGAATTGTTCCATCGTCAAAATTTCTTCACAACTTTTTACGAAGGAATTTTTCCTCGGATCCAAATTTGCGAGTAAGTGAATAGCGATGGTGTTTATTCCTTCGCAACTTCTTTCGCTAGCGGGTTTTGCGAGGGAAATAATTTGATTTGCGAAGGAATTTTTCCCTTGCAAATCAACATTTTTTTTGTAGTGTATTGTTCTCTTCGTCAATCTTTCTAGTGAGACTTCATCTTCATGAGCTGTGAGTGTTCGGAACATTAGTTGCCGATTAGTTGAGTTAGGTTCTAATAGTTTGAAGCCGTTGGTGTCGGGTTTGTTTGAAGGCATTTGGTCTTAGAAAGTTAGATATATAGTCGAGAACTTTGCCTCATCCCAAATCAAATGCCTTGTCATTAGTGCCCACCCTGGGCATGGGTCACTTGAGCCCACGCCTGAGGCCTCAAAATTTTGGCTCTCATTTTTTTTTTTTTAAAAAAAAACATATTTATATATAAATCAAATTTATAAAATATATGTATAATGTCTTCAGTTGCATTGAAATTTGAGTTTTTATATTTAAAATATTTAAAAATATCTTAATATGATATTTTTATGAATTAAAAGAGTATATTTTTATTGATAACAATATCAGAAAAACTGAAAAAAATAGTAATAATGAAACAAATAATTAAAAAATATTAATTTCATATAAAAAAAATTAATAAGGATTCATTTTTATTTTTATCTAGAGTTCATCAAAATTCTGGAAGGACCTTTTTGTCATAGAAAGTTAAATATATATAGTTGAGGTCATATTTTATCAAGTTGGTTATGAAGATTGGCGAGAAATTTCATCAACTTTGTATCTACATAATTATTAGATTTAATATTTTGTAAGTATTATTAGTGTTGCTTATTTGTTTTATTACAATTATTTCTACATTTTTGCCAACATAATTTTCATGTTGGTGAAATGTAAAATATTTACAAAGTAAGCCTTTTTTGTGCTTTGATTCTTATTCTTGTGATATTATTTTATGATGCAGTTTTTTTTGTTATCAAAAATACAAATAATACTATATAAAAATATATTTAGATTTAAAATCTCATAAATAATGTATCACTTGTTGAATTTAAATGCCCGATCCTTAAAGCGGAAGCGTACCTGTAGATAAAGCCATATACAAATCTTGGGTGATTAAAGGTTTGGTCTTCCAAGATCAGGGTGTCGGCTTCCTTTCTGTCCTTGACGGGTGAGGAGCAGAAACTGCAAGAAGAATCAGATCTCTTATGGCGTTCTGATCCTGGGGACCTAACCCTAGCCTATTTATAATAGCGCAAACATAATTGTAATTACAATTATGACCTTAATTAATATTATTAATTTGTCACGTCACCAAAATAATAATATTATACAGGTAGCTACACTTTTTTCATTCCATAACAATCAAATCTATCAGTCAATAATTAATTATATTAATTAGACCACTTAAATAATATGACTGGACAAAATAATAACTTTAACAATATATTCCATACACATATTTGATCCCAAATCCAACAATCTCCCACTGGATCTAGTATGTGTCTGAATGAACATATTATTCCTTATGAGCTCAGTTTTCAGTCATTATAAAACAAGGCTTGCAACAATCTGGTCCATCAATCACAACAATATAGGACTAAAGAAGCATTCGTTGTATCAACAGCTAAACTCACAGTAATCACGGATATCAGTGTAATCAAATGACATAGATCAATCATGGAACGTGCAGAGAGAAAATTACATAAGTGTGATCTGAATATGTCAATTTTCTACTGGTCCAAACTGAATGAGATCGTAAATTACTTAATCATAATGTCCAAAACATCATAACCATAATAATGATCAAAATAGTATAAAACAAATATCAAGTGAACGACAAAAGAATATAAATGCATACTCCCACTACAGTGAAGCTTCTTCAAATTCTAATACACCCATATGAGTAGTATGCTCATGGAAGACCTTAGGTGTTACACCTTTAGTTAGGGGGTCTGCTAACATGGATATTGTCCCTAAGTGCTCGACAGAAATATGATGATCCTTCACTCTCTCCTTCACAACTAGGAACTTAATGTCAATATGCTTTGACCTGGATGAGCTCCTATTGTTATTGGAGTATTCAACGGTTGAATTGTTGTCACAGAAAATCTTGATGGATTTTTCAACCATCGGAATTATTCGCAGCCCAGTGACAAAATTCTTTAGCCAAATTGCTTGTTGTGATGCCTCAAAACATGCCACGAACTCAGCTTCCATCGTGGAACTGGTAACGAGTGTCTGTTTGGCACTGCGCCAAGCAATGGCCCCACCAACCAACATATAAACATAGCCAGATGTAGATTTCCTACTATCTTGGCATCCTACAAAGTTGGAGTCAGAGTATCCAACGATCTCCAATTGGTCTGACCTAATATATGTGAGCATGTGATTACTAGTTCTCTTCAAGCATGTCATCACCCTTTTGGCTGCCTTCCAGTGATCCAATCCAGGATTACTAAGGTATCTGCCTAACACACCGACTATGTACACAATATCTGGATGCATGCATACTTGTGCATACATGAGGCTCCCAACTGCCGAGGCATAGGGGATCTTTTTCATCTCCTCAATTTCCAGATTTACTTTAGGGCATTGGCTGAGACTTAATTTCTCTCATTTAGCTATAGGGGTATCTCCCGGCTTACATTTCTGCATGTTGAATCGCTCGAGTATTTTATCAATATAGCTCTTTTGAGATAATCCAAGAATACACCGAGATCTATCACGATATATTTGGATCCCTAATACAAAAGATGATTCACCAAGATCTTTCATTTCAAAGTTACTCAAGAGAAATTTCTTAGTTTCGTGCAACATGCTCACATTATTTGTGGCAAGCAAAATGTCATCCACATACAAAACCAAGAAAATAAACTTGCTCCCACTGAACTTGTAATAAACACAATCATCAACCACATTCATCTCAAAACCATATGAGAGAATCACTTGATGAAATTTGTGATACCACTGTCGAGATGCTTGTTTGAGCCCATAGATGGATTTTCTTAATTTACAAACCATTCGCTTTGGGTCACCGACCTCAAAATTTTCTGGTTGTACCATATAGATCGTTTCATCAATGTCACCATTTAAAAACGCCGTCTTAACATCCATTTGATGGAGCTTTAAATCAAAGTATGCCACAAGAGCCATGATTGTCCTAAAAGAGTCCTTCGAAGAAACCGGAGAGAAAGTCCTTTATAGTCAATCCCCTTTTTCTGAGTATAGCCTTTAGCTACAAGACGTGCCTTATACCTCTCTACATTACCATTTGCATCCCATTTGGTTTTAAAAATCCATTTGCAACCTACGGGTTTTGCAACTTCTGGCAATGGGACAAGTTCCAAACTTTAATGTCTTGCATTGACTTGTACTCATCACACATCGCATCGATCCATTTATCTGAATAAGGACACTTCATGGCATGATAAATATTAATTGGATCATCCTCAGTCATGCCATCATTGTCCTCACTTTCTTAAAGAAATGTCACATAATCATCCGAAATGGCATTTCTTCGTTCTCTAGTTGATCTACGCAATTGCGTTGGCTCTTGAACTGTATGTTCTTGAGTTTGTTGAGTTTGTTCCATAGGCATAGGTTCCTGTTCTATACGAACGGGTTCCTCAGTCGCACTTTGAAGCTCTATGGGAGCTAGAATGACTGCTAATTCATGAGGTGTTTGATCAATCACATCAGTGATTTCTTGATCCTCAAAAGTAAAGTCTAAAACTGTATTTCTCCCCCTAAACTCAATATCCTCAAAGAACTTGGCAGTAGCCGTCTCAAAAATAGTTCTTGATGTGGGATCATAAAATTTATACCCCCTTGACCGTTCCGAGTAGCCAATAAAATAGCTGCTCACTGTACGAGGTGCTAGCTTTGGTTCATTTGGCCTATAGGCCTTTGCGTCAGTTGGACAACCCCACACCCTAAGATGATTTAAGCTAGGCTTGCGCCGAATCCAGAGTTCATAGGGTGTTTTGGCAGTTGCCTTAGTTGGCACTCGATTAAGGATATAGACTGTTGTCTTTAATGCTTCTCCCCATAACGATGGTGGCAAAGTAGATTGACTAATCATACTTCGAACCATATCCTTCAATGTGCTGTTTCGTCTCTCAGCAACACCGTTCATGCTAGGTGAATCGGGCATGTGTATTGAGGGAAAATTCCACACTCCTTAAGGAAGTCAGCAAAAGGACCTGGATGTTGTTCACCCGAGCCATCATTTCTGCCGACATATTCTCCTCCACGGTCAGATCTGACAGTCTTAATGCGTTTGCTTAGTTGATTTTCAACTTCAGCCTTAAATGCTTTGAACATGTCCAGTGCCTCAGATTTTTCCTTAATAAGGTACAGATGACCATATCGAGAATAATCATCTACAAATGACACAAAATATTGTTGACCGTTCCACGAAGGAGTGGAAAAAGGCCCACAAATGTCTGTATGTATCATTTCTAAGACATCCGTAGCTCGATAAGCACCTATCCTTTTAAGCTTGGGTTGTTTACCCTTAATGCAATCGACACAAACGTCAGAGTCTAAAAAATTTATGGAATCAAGGATTCCGTCCTTAATAAGTCTTTCAACTCTGTTTCTTGAAATATGACCTAAACGTTTGTGCCACAATAAACTAGAGTCATGCAATTTTCGCTTAGTACCTTT